AGGGTGCTGACTCCCTATTATCCAGGAAGTCAACTCTTGACTCCAGAAGTGTTTTTATTCACTGCCTTGTCCACCCCTTGCCTTTAAAAAGCCCTACATCCTCTGCTTCACTCCAGAGAGTAGGAAACCATACTTGTGTTGTTGGGATGCCTGTATTTTTACAGACAAGTTATCCTAGAATGCTCTTTTTCTTCCCTAAGGAGAAAACAGAAATGTAATGGGCCAAGATTCAGTAGGGAAAATGGTAGGTGAACTTAAGGACTGAATTATTTAGGGCAATTTACCTGATTGACATCGGGATGGGGGTTGGGAAGGGAAGAGCAGGCATTACAGCTCAAATCTCTGACTCAGGGGCCCTGCTTGAAAGTCCCAAGGGTGGAGGGATTGATATTTCAGCAGTCATAACCCATTTGGGACATATTAGTTGGGAAATGTTGATGAGGGATCAAGCCCAAGGCTGAGACTCAGAGGCTGGGAAACGAAAGATTGTCTAAAAACTACTCTCAGAATTGAGATTGAACTCTGGCTCTTGGGGCAGAAATTGTTGTTGATTTGGTCAGATGGTAGGCAGAAGCCTGTTGTGATCTTTGCCCCAATTAGAGCAATGCCAGGCGTCTATGTATGCTTTGGTAATACTCTAGTTGATAGTCTCTAGCACAGTCCTATTGCAAGACTGTCCCAGCTGGTAGAATAAACCAAATAGGATTGAACATTGAACATGATTTATGGCATGTAAGGTCTGTACCGGGTATTTGATGAAGGCCAAGGATTGAATATTAGGATTGGTGGGGATTGATGCAGTCTTTATGAATTCATTCACTAAATATTTATGGAGCATTTGCTTGGTGCCAAGCACTAAGGGAAAGAGGTGAAAGACATTTTCTGCCCCTAAGATGAGAAAGGCAAACGTTTGCATTAGGATATGACAGGTGCCGTGGAGAGGGTCAGCACAGCTCATTCTGGGAGCCCAGAGGGGCACACCTAAGCCAGCCTTGGGAGGAAAGTGGATATGAGGGTGGACTTCCTGGAGGAAGTGATGCCTGGGCTGGGTCTTAAAAGGTAACTAAGAGTTGGTCAAGTAGACAAGTAGGGGCAAGGCATCTCAGGCAGAAGCACAGAGGCGAGATTCAGCGCAATGAGTTTCTGGGAGTATAAGCAATTTATTGGGTTGTCGGAAAAGTCATGACGTATTTTTTTTCTATGTTTTTCATTGCAAAAATGCGTCATGACTTTTCCGACAGCCCAATATTATATCTCACAGGCTGTTTGTAGGAGTGATGTTAGTTGAAGCTGAAGGGGAAAATCAGGTGTCAAATGAAGAAAGGCCTTGCATGCCACGCTAGGATATTTTACCCCAAAGGCAGTGGGAAGTCACTGAACAGTTTTAAGTAGAAGAGACATGTGACTGGCTCTGAATTTTAGAAGCTCTTTCCAGTAGTAATGGGGCGGAGGCCTGGCAGCAGGGAGACCAGGGAGCCCAGCTTTTACCGCTGACTCCACTGCCCTCCCACCTGTCTTCATTGTCCCTTTCTCTCTATGAAATCTATTATTCTAGCTCTTCCCTGCTTGATCCAATGCACTTTCCTGCCACTCTTCCATTTTAATCAGGTTGATTCAACTTATCCAAACATGCCGTGTTCATTCCCATCTCTGAGTCTTGTTCGTTTAGCAAATATTTAGTAAGTGCCTATTGTATACCAGCCATGGTGCCTGGCATGGAGAACCAAAGATGAATGAGATGTGGAATGTACCTTTCAGGGTCCACAGACCAGTAGGGAGATACCTGTGGAAGCATGTTGTTACTGTGAGCATGATAGTGGCTGTGTACATGGGCCCAAAGAGAGAGTCCTGTCTGCGAGAAGCCCTCCTCCTTCTCAGCTAGATCCTCCCATCCTCAGGCTGCGGCCTTCACTCTGTAAGAGGCAGGATGGTATCTCTATACACTGTACACCAGTCGTACCCCTCTTCTACTCAAAACTGCTCAGTGGCGTTCCACAACTTTGGAATAAGACACCTTAGCATGCATGCGAGGCCCTTCTTCATCAGCAGGGTAGTATAATGGTTTAGAGCTTGGGCCCTGAAGCCAGACAACAAGACTTTAATCTTTGTTCTACCATTTATGAGACATGTGACCTTGGTCAGAAATTCTGTGTGCCTCAGTTTCTTCATCTGTAAAATGGGGCTGGTGGCTGTATCAACTTCAGAGGGTTATTGCGAAGATTAAATGAGTGCATATGCATAAAAACCTTTAGAATGGTCCTTGGAATGTGAAAAATATTCGATCATTTTTAGCTGTTATTATTCTCAGTTCTTACTCATTTTCTTCTCCGCACCTATATTGTGTCAGGAAACTTTAACCCCCGATTATCTATATTTGTGTTGCTTGCCCCTTTTTATGTGTTACCATATTGTTTCCCTTAAGAATGGTTTTATTCACCTTTAAAGTAGCATACATTGTGTGTGCGTGCGTGTGTGTGTGTGTGTGTGTGTGTGTGTGTATGTATCTGTACTCCTGAGATACCCACAGTGTGGGGTGTGTGTTAGGGTGAGCAGCCATCACAATTGGCTCAGGACTGACAGGTTTTCCAGGATGCAGGACTTTCGGTGCTAAAACCAGCAAAATCCTGGGACAACTGGGACAAAGCTGTCCACCTTCTATGCAGCGGGCACTTCAGTTTTGCTTTTATATGTGTCACTTATTGGTCCCAGTCTTAACCTGAAAGCAAGCTTGCCTTGGCTTTGCCACAAATTTGTATTTATTGGCTAGAAAATACAAAGTCACAGCCTCTAGGTTTCCTTTCCTGAGATTCCCTAAAATTTAACGTGGAAGATTTGAGGGGTTCCTGAGAGAAAACTCTCCCATCAGCTCTGAGTACATCTGCTAGAAACTGTGGGCAGCCCCGTAAGAACTTTCCTCAACCTGGCCCACAGCTGCAGCGGCTCGTCGTGCCGGTCATTTCTGGTCTCTGCCGGCGTTCCCATCATGACTCAGTACTTCCTTCATTTGCTTTCAGAATCGACATAGTCAACTAGTGGCAAAGCCTCTTTCTTCACACAAGGATCATCTGTTTGTCCATGAATTCCCCAGATGGAGCCAAAAGATTTAGCTTCCTTTCCAGCCCACGCCTGCCCCCACCTCACCTCCTCCAGGCAGTGTGTGCGTTGTGCACTTGCTTTCACACAGCATGCCATAAGGGCCCTCTGGGGCCTCTCGTGGTGCTCCTTACAGCCGTGACAAGTGTTTGCTGAAGCCTCCCCATCTTCTCCAGTACAGTCAAGAGGCTGGGTCAACAGACTCTGAATGGTTCCACTCCAGTCTATTAGTCCGCTAAGGCTGCCATAACTGGGTAGCTTAGACAACAGAAATTGATGGCCTCACGGTTCTGGAGGCTGGAAGTCTAAGGTCAAGGTGTCAGGAGGGCTGGTTTTTTCAGAGGGAGAATCTGCTCCATGCACCTCTCTTAACTTCTGGTGGTTTGCTGACAATCTTTGTCATTCCCTGGCTTGTAGATACATCACTCCAATCTCTGCCTTCATCTTCATATGGCATTCTCCGTGTGTGTGTGTGTGTGTGTGTGTGTGTGTGTGTCTTCACATGTTCTTTTTGTAAGGACCCCAGTCATATTGAGTTAGGGGCCCACCCTACCTCACTATGACTTGATCTTAACTAATTACATCTGCAGTGACTCTGTTTCCAAATCAGGGTCACATTCTCAGGTACTGGGGGATGGAACTTTAACATGTGACTTTAAAAGGGACGCAGTTCAACCCAGGTCTTCAGGTGAGTCCGAAAAACGCCCTGCTGACTGGAGGCCCCTGCTCCGTGGGCAAAGCAGAGCACCGTACAGCCATTGCTCACACATCCATGTCAGTTTCCCATTCACTTTGCCTCTGACACTGACTGTTCCTGCTGCCAGATTCAAGTCGTCATCGGTAACCCCTTGTTCCCCACTCTAGGTCACTGTGCAACAGTAGGGATATTAAGAAATAAAATGTACACCTGTGTCACTAGCTCCAAATCAGTGAATATCAGGAGATATTTTTTAAGAGAAACCTGCTGAGGAAAAGTTGCATCTATGGCATATATGTAATAGCTATTATAAAGGTCGTGACTTCCATCCTGATGAATAATAATCCTAAGCTGGTGGTCTTTTCAAACACTCTGGGAATGCCATGGGGTGTTCAGACAGGGGCTGGAGGGGCGTGTGTGTGTGTGTGTGGATGTGCATGTCATGCAGTAGCTCACAGGGGCTGGAGGGGCGTGTGTGTGTGTGGATGTGCATGTCATGCAGTAGCTCACAGGGGCTGGAGGGGCGTGTGTGTGTGGCTGTGCATGTCATGCAGTAGCTCATAGTAGGCAAAATCACCGACTCCTCCCTAACCTTCCTGCAAGCAGTGAGCCTCCCCTGGGCACGCAGGGACTCGCCTGCACCCCCTCACTCTGGCTGCTTCCTTCTGTCAGCTCCCTGAGCTGCTGACCCCTTCCCTCCTAAGAGATAGCTCTGTTCCAAAAGATAAACACTGGGAGTTACAAGGAACTTGGGGGGAAAGTCGAGCAAGTCTCGCAGTTACTGTTTCCCGGGTGTCCTCACTAGAAACCCAGCCGATCTTGGTGGATGAGGTATTCCGGTCTCTGTCAGTTTACAGCCTGAGCTGTGAGGGCAGTGATGGATCTTTGTAAGGGTGGAGGGGTGAGGGAGCGGTCGAGGAGTCTCTCATGTCTCCTCGCCTCTCTCCAGGGACGCCCCACCTCTGAGAAACCCCAGGGACAGAGGAGGCACCTGGCTAGTGCCCGCGTGTGCCAAGCTGCCAGGCAGGCTGCTAGCTTGCTGCGAGGCGGCAGGCAGGCTCCGCTCAGCTCGTCTGTGCCAGATCAGGGAGCTGTCGGCTCAGCCCACGCCCCGCGCTCCAGCTCCGGGCCGCCTCGGGTGGGCTGGGGGAAGGCGCAAAGCTCTCTTCGTGACTGCAAGTTGACTTTCCCTCACTGTTGTTGCCGGCAGAACACATACACCAATGCAGACAAGCTTCTAGAGGCAGCGGAGCAGCTGGCTCAGACCGGGGAATGTGACCCCGAGGAGATCTACAAGGCAGCTCGACACCTGGAGGTGCGCATCCAGGACTTCGTGCGCAGGGTGGAGCAACGCAAGCTTCTGCTGGACATGTCTGTCTCCTTCCACACGCACACAAAAGAGGTAAGGGCAGGGTGGAGAAGGGGCGCTGGCTGGATTGATTTGTTCTAGCGGGGAGTCAGGTCGGTTTTCTAATACAACGGCCCTCAAGGTACGCCCAGGGACCTGGGCGGCCTGGGGGTTACTAGCCTCCTAAGATTGATGATATTAACACTTTGCTCCTGATAACCTGTGTTTAGGTCTCAACTAAGATGGGACAAAGTTTCCTTCTCATCTCTAATGAGGAGGGGGCCACGGAGGCAGGTGGTTTGGGGAGCCTGCTAGAGCCTTCAGTCTGCAGCTGGAGAAATTTGGGGATCCCTCCTGTAGAAATAGTCACTGTAAGAGGAAATACTAGAGGATCAGAGGTTCCCTTCCCACCCCACACCCAACTGCTCTTGGCTGCTGTTTCCTGTCAGAAATTCGAGTCCTGCAGAACCTTGATCATCTTTGCTTTCAAGGAACATACAGAGTTTGCAAACGTGTTCTGTTTTATTAAAAAAAAAAAAAAGATTACATCTTTTCAGTGAGGTCTGCCATAGGGTGATAGTAAAGTGAGCAGTTCCTCGCCTTGCCTGATGGTGGATAGCTGGTGAAGAAAGGGGGACTGAGGAGTCCTCCACGCAGGACAAAGAGAGCTGGGCTTACATGTGGCCCTGATTCATCACAAAGTGGAGACAGGAGAGGGAGTATGTTACATTGTTGTCAGTGCAGCAGGACCCACACAGAGGAGAGCTGCAGACCTGCGATTATCATTTCTGATTAATGTGGGGCACTCTGAAATTAAGTGGCCAGTGAGAAGGCACATTTAGCATCTTCTCTAATAACACCCTTGGCAGATGATCTCATTAGGGCCACGCAGGCGTGCGTTCCCCCAGGAATTCATTTTAATGGAGTATTAATTAAAGTTTGCTGCTCAGGAAAAAAAAAATTAACCCTGCTTAATTAAGTTGGTTTTTGAAACTTGAAATGCATTAAGAAGCCTGGCTGTTACTACACAGTCTTTCTGACACTTTGTGGGAATGAATGCAAATCAATTGCAGTGCCTGTCAGAGAAAAACATGAAAAGATAATGTTTTCTAAACTGAGATTCCCCAGGCAGATGAAGGGCTGAGGAGCTCCCCCTAAAGCTGCTGGCTCTGCTTCCTCTTCCCGGGACCCACAGACACGGAGTGTCTGTAAAGCAAGGGGATTAGCCTTAATCCAGGTTTTCCTGCCTGGTTGTCTGCTTGCTGGTGGCTCACCCAATTCTTAATAATGGTCTCAGAAACCAAAGGCATGTGTATTCTCCTTTAATTATGAGCCTGTGGGTGTTGGAATGGAGCACGAAAACACAGGAGTCATGTCCCTTGTGAGGGCTGGGTTGGGGGGTGGGGGAGAGGGGTGCTGGCTGTCCAGGGAGATGGTGGACAACATGGAAGTGCCACTCCTCAAAGGGTGACCTTGGTTCTAGGAACCTTTTCTAGCTATATCGCCCACCTTCTGTACACGGAGCTAGGAGGCTGCGATTCTAGTCCAGACTCCGCTGCTCTAGAACCATGTGAACTCGTGCAAACCACCATGTCCCCAGCCCTGGGGAGCCTCATCTATACAATTGTGCAGGTGGACCTGGTAGCCCTATGACCTCTTATGATTCTCATGTGAATTCAAGATTCCTTTCTTTTTCTCCTTTATTTGATGTTGACAATCATAATAATTAATGACAATAGTAATTAAGCCTGAAGTAATTCAGGTGATTTACCTAGCCTAAGATTTAGTTTGTTGTAAGCACTCAATGTATATTAGCTAGTATTTTTTTTTGGATTGGGTACCTACTAGTTGCCAGACACATATATCGTCTCATGTAATCCTCATGGTAATCTTATGATATAGATTTTATTAAATATATTTTCAAATGGGGGAACTGGGGCTCAGAAAAGAACATGTCTAAGCTTCTCAGTAGTGCAGCAAAGGTTTTACCTGCCTTCCTAAATATGGCGCTCGTGTACTTAACTAGTACCCTGCACCCTGCTGCCCTCCTGTTTCTTCTTCTACCTGTTCCTCTTCTCTGCTTTTCTTATTTCTTCTTACTCTTCTTTTTCCTTTTTACATCTTCAAACCCCAAAGCTGGAGCTTGATGGGGAGGGAAGACCTTAGCTTAGAACGTGTTGACAGGTTGAGGGTATGGGAGATGGGAATAGGCAGGGCTGCAGTTATTAACCGCTGTTTACCCTCAGATCTCTCAAACTTTGTTAAGCTTGGTCCGATTTGAGCCTGAGACTCGTTTTCACACTGAGACTCAGCTTACAAAACCACATTCATAAGAAACAGGACTAACGGGAGCAGCATAATACTAGGGGCAGGCGAAGAACTGGGACCTAAAATGTATTTAGCACCTACTATGTGCTGCTATCTCATCAATAGCTGTGAGAATTGTTACTTTGTATTCCAATTTTACAGATCAGAGAAGTTAATGCTTTGCCCAGGGTCTTGTAGCTAGGATGTGGTAAATGTAGGAATTGATCCCAGATCTTTCTGATTCCAAAGCCCATGCTTTTTCTCCTTTTCCACACAGACTTTTACCGGAAGGCCAAAACATAGAGACTGGGAGGGGTTTTCTCTACCAGGGAATTTATTCCAACAGGAGGCTGTCAGAAAGTAGCATAGCCTCTTTCCTCGGGCTCCCAAACTGTGGGAGACATTAGGAGCAGTCCTGCCTGGATGCGAATGGGTGTGTGCTTGTGAGGATCCTTCTGTTCAAGATATCTGCAACTTTCAGACCACACAGATTGTGACTTTTCTCCAGGGTGGAAAGAAAAGCATCATTTTGAGTGGCTGTCATGGAGGAGCTGTTTATCAGCGCCATCCAGCAGGACTTTGTAGCTGCGTGCTCCCTCCCAGTCACCTTCCCACCCCCAGGAGTCTGCCTGAGGCCCGCTTTAGGAAAAGTAGAGAATAAGATGCGTGTGTATTATGTATACACCTATGCTGTATGTACCCATAGACATGTACATGCATAGGTATATGTGACACATGCACACGTATGTGTTCCACACACACATTAAATACAGCAAGATCTCAGATGCCAGAGAGGTCTGGTTTCCAGGTCTACATCTTCATTAGGCCTGCTGCATGCCGTTGGGAAAATTACTTAATCTCTGTTACTTTGCGATAATTATTATTATGATGATTACAGCATTGAGTAGTACAGTGCTAACACCAATTGTTTTTTTTCCTAGTAGAAAAAACTCCCTCCCAAATGTATCCTTAGAGCATCTCTAAAGTAGGCTTAATAAGGAACTTGAGGACTCCATCCGGCATCATTTTACCTTGAACTTCTTCCCTGGGGCTTCCAGCCTCCCACCTAGATTGGACATGTGCATTCCTCCATCCATGGTGCTGGGATCATACTGAGCTCATTGGGTCTTCTTCATTAAATTCAAAGGGCTCACATGTAGAATACACATGTGCGTTTAGATGTGTAGATATAGATTCTACTGTGCATTTCTGTCACTATGTCTGATACATAGAGACGCTCAATAAATATTGAACAGATTTACTTGACAATGGGAAGCCAGTCATTTCTTTTAAAAAAACAAAAAAGCCGGGGAGAGGAAGAAGCCCATTCAGTCACATCTTTCATCTACTCCCGTTGTTTGACTTGAACTCTACAGGCAATCTGAATAAAAGGGGGATGGGTGGGGAGTCTGAAGTGCCCGTGGGAGCTTTCCTCCAGGACCTGTATAGCAGGCAGAAATGGATGACTAAGTAGGCCCCCCTGAGCATCCTTGGATGTTCTAATGAAGGAGGAACTCCTGAGGTTTGATCTTTCCGTATTCTGTTTAATACCTCTCAGTACACACCGCCCCTCAAACCTTGGTAAGTGTGGGTCCTATTTGATCCTGGGCCAATTAACTCTTGGCCCCTTCCTCGTGACTCTATAGGCAAACTTCAGGCTTTTTACTCAAGGCAAGTTGAGTATCCAAGCCTTTAAGTCTGTTAGGGAATTTTGTGTTGCTATGGTTATTTTTCCCTCTTACAGTAAATAGAGTGAGTGGAAGGATGATCGTCTGCTTGGTTTTACTGAAGTGGCTTTGGGTGGCACTGGGGTTGCTGGAAAATACTGTCATACACTTAGACCTTTCCTGCCCAGTTATGGTGAATGCCTTCCTTCTTCCTCCCCTCCTTTCTTCTCTTTCTTCCTTTCTACCTACCTGCCATTATGTGCTAACTTTTTGCGTTAGTGCCAATGGGTAATAGAATGGCATTTATTGTAAAACGTAATTTGGAAGGAATTACAGCCCCGTTTCTAAGAGATTTCTGGGCAGGAACTGAATGCCCTCCTTCATCAATGATTTAACCTAGACTTCCTGTGACTCCCCAGGCTGAAGTTCATAATTTTACTTTTGCCTGCTTCCTACATCAAAAGATTTACCCTAATTAGGATCAAAGTGGAAACAGAGG